TATTTAATATTATAAACTATCTATGCACGGTGATCCAGTTCGGTTGTGTCGTTGGGTTATAGGTATTTCTGTGTTCTATTACAAGAGCTCATCAAAACGCTCATTTCGCGTTTGAATTCAAGCCAGAAAATGTCACCTCGTAAATCTTCCACTCTGTTTTAGAATTCTGAACGGTCCGTTAATTCGCCGAACTATTTTGTCGCGTAATGTACAGCCGAGTGTTTCAATGTTGTCGCGTAACGTTTAATAAATTAGGAATATCACGTGAACTACCGGCTGGTGAATTCGGTAGACTGAAATTCGAGAAGCGACCAGATCGGATATGATGTATCCACTTAAGTCTTGGTAAACCACTCCTATTTTATACAAAAAGGAATACTTGTAAATACACAATACCTCTGATACTTCCAACACGTTCATAAATGGACTCTTTGAATCGCTGAATAATATACTCAATCACCTACAAAGTTTCCTAATCATCTTCATTCATATGATATTCCTAAAAAATCATAACCCTATGCAATCGAAACTCTCAGTAACGTAGACCGTCACGTATAATTAGCCCTCATTTCTCCCTTGTGCCAATTTGACACATTTTTCTCTTAAAAAATGATGTTATTCTGTCACCTGTAAGTAAACACCTCTTCTGGAGAAAAAAAATGATTTCTTCCGATTAGTTAACTACACGTATGATTTTCTAGATGACGTACACTGGACGTAAAGGGTTAAAGAATTAGCAAATTTAACTATTTATTTCCCTATCATTGAGTCAATTTAACACCTAGGGACAAATTAAATTAAGAAACAGGTGGAGGGATCAGGGTCGAACTCGTTGCTTCGAATTAAAAGTCTAGAACCCACGGTTCAAACACCTCAACGAACAAACCATCCCGTTCGCCATTTTTCGTCAAACCAAACCGTTGGCCAACGTATCCAGAAACAGTGCCCTGTTGTAACAGTTCCGAGACGCCTGCCAATCATCGGTGTTACCGAGGTGGTGAAAGAAGACGCTCTCTTTCGTATCGATAACCTCAAAATCGTTTGGCCCCGGTGCTCTTGGGTGGGGTGGCTGGGCGAAAGAACGAGCGGAGAAGCTGAAGGACAAGATAGAACGGAAAAAATAAGAGAGAGAGTGTGAGAGAAAGTGAGAGAGAGAGAGAGAGAGAAACGGAAGGCACCGGGGGATGGAGGGAGGGAAGCCCTTCTCGGCCCTATTAAAAAGCCCGTTTCTGCCTCCGTTTCTGAAAGCCTCTTACGGCACTCGAGGCAACTGCGAAAGCACTTGAAAGCTCCTGAAAAGCCCGACAACACTTCCCTGGTTGAGTGCCGCGTCCCGCCAGGAGGCCGCTGCGACTTCGCACCCTGTCACCGAGACACACCGTTGGACAGAGAGAGAGAGGGAGCTGCTGCGAGCAAACCCTCTATGTGTTGCAATATCGTCCCGCTATCCTATGTATTAAACATCGAGTGTCCATCCCTTTCTAACGGGGTGGCCGCCAGCGAGCCGGCCACCTCTTTCCCACCCCCGTCGAATCACTCTCTCGAACAGACTTCGGCCACGTTGAAGCAACTCTTCGTCGAGAAAAGCCAGCGAGACGTGGCCTGGCGTCGAAGATGGACAAAAGAAGCTTGATGTCTGGAGAGAGACTCTGTTTCTTGTTATGGGGACTTGGATGGATTCGTCGTGGTTCTGTGTGTCTTGGATAATGATGGTAATGGGTGGATCGCGGATTTTAGGCATCGAAAGAACCATATATAACGCTGTTTTAAATCATTGACTTGGAGATATGATTTTTCATAGAGAACGAAAATATTAGGTTGTGATGTATGAAATGTCAGTTTTTTTTACAGTTTATGGGGAACCCACTATTGGAGTTGATTCACTTTGCTGATTTTTTTCGAATGTTTCGATACTTTCATAGTACGTGCAGCAATTTTTATTAGAATGATACATTTCTTGATACTATCTATACCCCGTTCAACGAATCGAGGCAGTAAATATAAATGAAGAGAAGTAATAACCATTTGGGTGGAACAGGGACAGAGAAAATTGCAAGCCAATAGCTAGGTTTGGCATTCAAATATTTTAGTTATCTTTACTCACAAGTCTCGATGAACAGTGACCTAGTAGAGTTCATATTAAAATTAGATTTTGTCATCATTTAAAACTCTGTACTTACTCAGTTATGGATGAAGTGACATTAGTGTCTACGCATCGCTTCATGGATTAATTGTTAGAGGCAAAAAAGGATTAATGAAACCATCGGTAATGAAATAAATGTTCCTCTAATAATACGAATTTGCAAGGAGTATTCACGGTGTGGTAATGGAGAATGTAAGGTCGAGTTTGTACTCGAGCACCGAGGTCTTGAACAATGTGGAAGTTTAATCGCGTTGGGACAAAAGTTGGCATTGGAATGCGCGCAGTCTTCTACCCACTTGGACGTTACGGTTCTGATCTGACGAGCAAAGGATAGATTGAAATTGAAAACATACGAGTTTTACCATTTCCAGAAAATGAAGATACTATTTCTATGCTGAGACGATGTGTACACTGTACGTTTTATCGGGGCACAAGGAAATTTCAAGAGATCAATATTATGAACGTATCGATGGAATATTTTCCAGCTGTGATACACGAAGACTAATACAGGTAGGTTTAGTTTTTGGTATAAGTAATTTCAGGTACAAGTAATTCGTTCAAATGTGATATTAATCCTTTCTACTGAATTACCGTTTACATCCTAAACAATAACCTTCGTCAGAAATTCGACTGATGTTTGATAATAGCCTTGAGTCTAATTTAAATTCCAAACTTTACATACCTACATTATTGTTTCTAAATGTAAACAAACTTTACAAGAGGATACGTAACCGAAAAGTAAAAGTATAAATTTCACTAGTTTCGATTATTTTGAAAATCGCAGCCAATTTAGCTCAAACAAAGATATAATTTGAAATCAGGATCCTCGAGTACAATCAAACCGATCTTAATTCCTGACAGCATAAAAAGAAATGTTTGTGTTCCCCAGTGTAATCACTAATTATGAACTTTGATAGATCTAATCAAATACCCCTGACATTTCGTACTAACGACTTAATATTTCTATCCTTCAAATGGCACTCGGTACGTAGAAACAACAACGCCCAGCACGGACTTCTCGCCAGGAATCCCGACAAAGAGAAAACAACCCCGTGGAGAGTGTGTCTTCCCCGGGAGCTTCTTTGATAGAATAAAGAACACTTATCCCGTCCCGGCACGGCGCCCGGAATCGTAAATCCCGGTTCATCCCCGTCCAAGGAACGCAATCGGACAATGGAATCGGCGATACTAATCCCCGAACGTGTTTACCACCCGTATCGGGGCGAATCTCTGGTGGCTCGATTCGATTCCGCACGGAAAAACGAAGCGTAGAGAGACGGGCGCGCGTTTCCGGTCGCGGCGGTGGGTAAAGGGGTTCGAAATTAGTGGGAGGACGACACACAGAGGTACACTCCTATTCGAGAAGTCTTCGTCGGACCATTTTTCTTCGTGTTGAAAATACTAACGAGAGAACGGTCCGAGGTGGAGATCGCCTCTGCGTACGTAGAGTGCAACGAATACAATGGACGAAAAGAGAGAAAGAGATCGAAAGTCGAAGGACAGAGAACGAATAAAGAAACGAAACGAAGGGGGACAGAAGGTGCTGGTAATCTGCGTGTTGAAGCGTTCTGGGCCCGGAGAGATAACCGGAGAGGGAACATACATAATGCAGTGTTTCTCTTGCGGACGGCCAATCGGTGACGGTCTTAAGCGAAAATGGGCCAATGGCTTCTCGCGCGAGGAGCTTTCCCCTCGTGCCTTATTACAATACATTAGAATATCGCCGTGGTCGCGTCTGACTTCGTGCACGGACGGCAAGAGGGGGGAGATGGCGGTCATGGAACGGCAGAGGAAACGCGGCCAGGGGTGATTTGCGTACCGCGCGGTCGTAGGAAAGTGTCATCTCGCGCCTCGTTGTATATCTAGGCGGTCTATTAAGATCAGGTCAGACATGGGATTCACCATTGGCTCGAACGTTTCACGGGGAAATCGTGCAAGAGTAATGTGAACGCGACTTGGATCGCGTGAATGCTGATACCGTGACGAGCGAACTTCGAATTGGTGTCACTTGATTTTTGCTTTTATTGAGGTCCTCAAACGGTTTCGATTGTTTAGCATGAATTAGGGCATTTGGGTTGTTTTTAAGGATAGAGTTATGAAGACAACATATTTACAAAGAATACAGAGATTAGAATCTTTGAGGAAAGAACGCACAGAAATATGTGCTTCGACGTTGGGTTTCGCTTATCTGTGTTTGGAGATAGTCGAAACCCCAGATTAAGTAGAGAATTAATTAATTTAGGTCCCATTTTAATTTTTTAGATATTGGTATCTGAAATTGTGAGTTTGCATAAACTTCCGCAGCCGGAATATAGATGGACCGAGTTCAAACGTTCGAAAGTTTCCAATCGTCGCGATGAACGACGCCGCGTAAAACACACTAGAAGAGTGTACACGGTTGTTTCCTTGAAAACAGGGCTCGTATGCATGACTCTGCTCTGGCCGGTCAACAACTCGCAAGGCTAAATGAAACAATTCCTGGAATTCTTCGTCACTTCTCCCTCTGGACAGGGGTGGGGGGACGGCCAAGGGCCGAGGGTTGGTTAATTTCTGGACACACCGAGGGGGCGGCCAGTGTTTGAATGGGTGGCAGCCCCGCTTAATCTGGCGCAGTTTAGACAATTTAGCGCGGTTACCCGGTTAGCGTCAAACATAACCTCGCCACTCTGGGCCCGGGTGTAAAGAATGGCGCCCCCCACCCCCGCCGTCCCTGTAATGCCGGGAAGTCCACGCGCGGGGAGTTACCTAGCGAAGAGAAGAACAGGGAAGCAGGGGGCTTCGAGGTGGACGTCTACGAGGGAGAAGGATAGATGAGAGAGCACGGGCTGCTGCTCGCACAGGGAGGCTATGTGCTTACCAGTTACCGAAGCAGAAGGAAGAGTAGAAGGGGTTGGTCCGCGCCGGAATAACCCGGCTCTTTAATTTAAAGCCGCCGGACAGTAATTAAAATAACCACCCCCGGACACATACTCCTTGAAGCGGTGCCCAACTCGCTCAAGACCCTCCTGACAATGATGCTTCTTTTTCGGCTGGATGGATCTGTAGACAGAAGAAATTGTAATTAAGGGGACTGTGGTCGATGATCGTGCGTGTTTATACGAAATTTAGGTCGTGGATGTTTGTGTAAATAGCCTGCGGATTTTTATGGAAAATTGAGTTTCACGAAGTGATTCACCAAGGCAACAATAAAAGTTGAAACTTCTTTCTTCACTTGGGTACCTTGTTCGAGTATGAATAAAAATAATCGAAAACTCGTTATGTCAGATGAAACTGTTGTCTTTTGTTGTGTTTCATGGAGCTCTGTAAAGTATACATGGATAGAATCCGCTGGTTATTTAATAGGTATTTATATCACAGTGTAATTCTTAAAAACAGACGCATTGAATGGAAAGTTCAATGGTTTCGTTTGTCAGAAAATAGAATAAAGCCTGTGTTAATATTTATTAGCTGGTTTTACCTAGATATATCTGTACTGTGGTCTTATGTGAACTTCAGGTTATTCAAAAAAATATCAACGTTTTATTAATTTATGCTACCGTTCATGTACAGTATTGTTTATAATTAAATAATATGTAACATTTACGGATGGTATTATCGCGAATGAAAATGTGTTAGTGTACAATAATTAAGAGACTATACAATAATTAAAAGTTCTAAATCAGACCACGTATAACAGTTCAACCTGATATTTATAATTCCTTGAAATATGAATGTTAAAACATAAAAAAACGCACAAAACTTCCGTCACTATTCTTTAAACAACCTTGTACAATGGTGCAAGTGGAATACATAATTCTTTTTTTATCTTTACTTTCGTATAACCGATCGCATCCCATTTACACATTTCCATATCTATACAGTCCAAGTATGATTGATATTTATTTAAAACAAGCCGATGTGCTCGTTCCTTAATTACCTTATTTCCATAAAACGCGTAACGAAATACTTTCAGAACACAATGCATTACAAAAGAGACATGTCAACTAAACAATTCCAAAAAAGGAAACTTCCAAAAAAACACCAAAGAAATTTCAAAGAAGATTCACTGAAATTCGCGAATTATATGAGGTGTATGCCCTATTATTAACTCAATTATTACCTCATAATCGTCATTATCTTTCAATTTAAATAAACAAGAAATCTATGAAAAGAGAATCACGAATCAATTTGTACATCTAATATACTCACGGAATAAGCAATAAACCTTATAATTATATTAATAATACGTCCGTGAGTCGTGCACGTCTTTCTGATCACTCGTTACCGATAAAACACACGCGTTTCTCTTGCACAACAATCATTACGCAAACTATATTACAGAACTATCTGCTAACGAATCTTTCGCGTTCAATTAAAACCGACGACCCCGGCGGTTCAACGGAGTCGTTAACAAAAACACGAGCGGGTAAACGTGTTCCTTCTCCTTCCGGGGGCGCTGAATTCTATCGACTGTATACTTCCCTTTCCCTCGCTCGTTCCCGAGGTATTGAAAACACCAGTGCACCGTCCGATAATCAGGCGGTTTCGCGTAATTTTGCAATGTATTTCGCCTTAAATGATATGTGTTTTCTTAATGAGCGTGTTATATTATATCTTCGCCGTCGGTAGAACCGGGCGGTTTGCTGGCAATTCAGGCTGGTCGCGACCTCGTTGAGCACCGCGTTTCTGTTCACGGTCTTTCTCGTTCGCGACCGCGAGACGAGGTCAGGATACACGCGCGTGTGGATTGAAAATCTGATTTAATTCATCGTGTTCCCCCTTTCTCCCTTTCTCAGCACCGACCCGTGTAATTTTCTTCTTCTTCGAGGGGAAAGAAAAAGAAACGAAACGGGAAAACAGAAATTACTACGGGGACCGTGTAGCGAAAGGATCGGGTTTATTAAAGACCGTGTCGTTAATAAAACCACGCAATTAACAGTCATAATCATTGTCTTGACGATTTCCACTAACGATTCGACCTGTATCGAGTATACATGTCGATTCATCGTGCAGTCGTGTCGTCGTTGAGTACTTTCAGTAATCGCAGGCATAATCATCCTGTGTCTGATCATTTTCGCTAATGTCTTGGCCTATATTTGAACGTAGCTTTTCGAACCAGTTTTTTAGAAGATTTGTTGGAATAAACTATCAACGTTCATAAAGGCTTTTAACACTTATATGGCTTGTCGAGCGCTGCAATCGTTGTGCGCCTTGTCGCACATCTTTGTTGTGTTTTAAGTTAGACTAGCTACCATCTTTTGTATTGAATCAAGCGTGCTCGTTCCACTGTGTATTGCTCTCTTTGGGAATACCTTTTTTGTTTTCTATCAATAAATACTGTTGTAACAAGATTCATGTGGCGATTCGAGTAATCCAGGAATTGTTTGTACCCGAACTGATCCAGTTCGTTGGTCACTGAACGTTTCAGAGAATTAATTTTAATGTGTAATTTGAATGACCACAGGATACTTATAAAATATAAATTTAATAGTGAACAGCTGCCTTCTAATTTATATAGCTGGTGACTCGTAATTGAATGGATGCGCCACAACCATTAACCTGGAATATCAAGTTACTATGTTGCCATACAGCTTCCACCCATTTTTCTTCGTTTATACTTTCGAATGATATGGGTCGAAATTGACTCCACCGTCGGGTAATTAGATGTTTACGACAGGCGAGTCGCGTGACACATTGATTCTTGAATATTTTATGCAACGCTTATCGCGTCGAGGGATCGCGAATCATCATCCACCACGGAACAACAGCCTTGAAGTAAATTTAATCCTTAGATGCGCACGAGATACAGGCTGATGGAAAGATCGATATCAAATTGCGGGTAATAACGGAAATAAAAATGGTGTTATGTGGGTATGGGCGTTTAAGGGATAATGGCCGGGCGCACCGGGTATAATATCGTTTAATAATTTACTTAACCAGGAGTATCCTGTAAGCCCTGGGCTCGTTTCATCGCCGCGGCGAGTGTCACGATTTGAAGGTAAACTTTCACTTTTTGATGAATGGCACACCACTGTACAGGATATTCAACGATATTGTTATTGATCATGTATAATGACATTCCCGTGTAATTGGGTTGAGAAAAGGATTGTGCAGCTTGGTGGAGCAATTGCGTATAACTTCGAGAGCTCGATACAATGTATCTATGAAAGTACGAAATATTTGGTCATGAAGTATGAAACTTGACAAATCATCAGAACGGAAAGTTCGACATTTATTATCATTTGAAATTTCCGTATTAGGTTAGGTTAGTTTAAATCGTTCTTCACAAGTCTTATTTGTTTGGTAAAATATCTTTGTTAGGTTCATTGGTTGACCAAATTGTGACCCAAATATGAATTACCAAATATGACCCAAATTTGTAATCTCAACGATACATTTTGTGAATGATCCGCATTGGCTCATTTGCCTCAATCTGGCCAAGTGAAGATGTTACGGTACATTTGTCAAGTTTCATACATAATGACCCAATACTTGTTACCTTAAAATACAAGAAAAGTGTTATGTAAACGTACGACTTAACACTTATCGAATATATTGTAAACGTTACAGGGCACTGCAACAATTGCTAAAATTCTGAAATAATAATTAACAACACGATAAACTGGATGTGAAATACGCCATCATAATTCAATAAATAAAATTGCAAAACGAAGATGATATTATCTCATCTATTTCTCTCGGAGGAAGTAATAATTCTGTAATAAAATTTCCACCCTACCAGTTAAGGGTCCAAGGATAACAACAAAGTCACGAGACCAACGAGACGCATCCTTTAACGGATCAAAGGCTCGGTTTAAATAAAAATTTCTCAAGTATCCTCGAGCCGTTGTATCGCCGGAACGTATCGGCCGCCTCCGTCACGTTTAGAGTGCAATCGTGGCTGGAAAGCGTCGATATAACGTAGGCACTCAGCCCTCCCGCCCCGGTGGTGGTGTGGTCGAGTTCCGATATACCAGGTGTTACGATAAATTTAAACGATATTTTATTCAGGCGGAGCCGATCGCTAGTTTTCAATTTGCCGGCTCGTATATATTTCGCGAAGGTCGGCGCCAGGGGGTGGTAGGGGTGACTGCTGGCCCTGGAGATGCAATTTCTTGGGGTGGTCCGTTCGTCTGGACCCTCGGCCGGGTCATCCTCTCTCTCTGACTCTCTATCCGCTCCTTGCTAGCCTTGATGAAAAAATAATAATCCCGGGGGAACGGTCAGTTATGGGGAATGAAATCATCCCGACGCCCCGTTCGTGCCTTGCCCTATCGAACCTGTGTATACTCCTTGTCATTCGCCATCCACCCCCCCCCCCCCCCCCCCCCCCCCCCCCGAATCATTATCTTTTCGTTCGGCTTAGATTCCCCGGCTGGAGACAACAAAAAAACGAATAATTCTGATGTTTACGCGACGAGGTAGGGTAATTCGATCGATCCGGGTTAACGTTAGAATTGAACGAAGTGTATACCTTTGATGGTAGATCCCTTGTGGATATGTCCGAATGATTCTACGTGGAAAGAAATTCGACACGATGTTCTACGATGTGGAGGGACTCCGGAAGCTTTCGGAAGAAACCTCTCGTGTAATTTATCATTTTCTTGAATGGCTGTCGTGTTAATGCGGACGGAGGCTTGACCGTTCGCTCTGTATTAGTGTTACGGGGGAGTCCAAGTTCTCGGGGCTTATCGGCTTGTTTTATCGTCCTAAGTTCGGAAGACAGAGGGTAGATGTCCTATCTGGATACTTTTAGCAAGTGTGTACATTAAGGTCGATTCTCGTCGTAACCGTTTAACTACTCCGTTGTCCCTGTTTTTTTTTTCGATTCTTTGCGCAGAACCGGAGTATAGTTAGGGGAGTCACCCTGAGAGTGTTGAGCAGATTTTGTTTTATTTATAAGTAGAGTAGCATAGGGGCTGTTACACATAATAATTAGAGCTATCACGACGTTTGTACATAGCACTGCTCACAGAAACGCTATCCTTTATCTCACAGATATCATTTGACAAAAAAAATGGTTCGCTAAATATCGAATCACCTCA